CCATCTGTAGAATAGCTAGAAATACCCATCATTCCTAAAAACAAGTTGGACTCTATACCACGTGTACGCTTTTCGATAGATTCAGAATACACATATATTCCGTTATACTTCATATTATGTAACATATGAAATTAGCAAGCTATATAGCAAACAGCAATGACTGTTTTACGCAATCAGAAATACTCACATTATTCTGGGTTTACTAGCAAAAGCCAGTTTTTGATCCCTCCGGTTTTATTTGTAAGCCTACGGATTTAGGAATATCAACTGACGTTCGAACATGCTTCCTGTTGACGAATCAAATTTTCGCATCCTTAGCTCGCGGCCTACCATTGTAAACTTCCTGATGTTCAGATTTGGCGGATATAATTAAGCCAGTTTCTGTTACTACTTATTATGTAAACATAAGGATCTATATAAGATTGTGCCAGAGTATTTCAAAAAAAAAGAATTCTTGACTGTCACAAAAGTACTTCAGAAAAGTGAAGCTGTTGAAGTTCTACAAATATACGTGGAAAGTGATCAAAACGATCTTAACGGACTTCAGAGCATGAAATTGTGTCCTCTCCCTCAATTCAGACCTGAAAACGGACGAAATCCGAGAACAACCAGATGTAAACCGAAAGTAAACAAAACAAAAAGTAGCCACAGAAAAGAAACAAGAAACTTGCCACAAGACTTGCCACGAATCGACTCATCGAACATTGGTGTGGCGCCTCACTGGCAAAACTAACAACGAAAAATTTTAATATCAGCAACTGTACACACGTTCATCGACTAAACCAAAAAAGTAGAATAAGAAGAAGAAAAAAAACAAGTTTCCATGTCAGTACGTACATTACTTCGTGTGTAAAGCATGTGATAAACAACAACGCAGTGACAGAGAACAAAATGCTTCAGATCGATCACAGAAATGGTCCGGCCAGCAGCAAGTCGATCAATTGATCACCTGATCATCAAGCACGTATTTTCCCTCAACGCCTCATTTCATATTTTTTCCATTTACCATCCTCTCTCTCGTAGCAGAATTTTCGACTTTCGCCTTTTGAACGTCTCTCTGCGACGACCAAGCGACTGAGTCACTGGGCGACCTCCTTCTTTACCATAGGCGTAGGTTTAACGTCGCCGACCGAAGCTTCATCGGCGAAGCAGCCAGTGTCGAGATCATTTTCGCCATACGGGTTGACAAGAGCTATGACGCTGCTGCTGACTGCTGCCAGCTCATCCTGAATATTCTGATTAACCTGACGCGTCGCTTGTTTCTTAACGACAGAGTCATCACAATCTAAGTTGCCGATATTACACAATGGAGAGTTCTAAACACTCGTTCAAATCAGCAGAACGTCGGTGATAAAGAGATATCAAACAACATTTAAACAACAAACAAACAACAAACAGATAGTCATTACGCAATGGCTGATTATTTATGAACGAACAGCATTGAAGTCGTTTCAACCACCTATACATCAGTAACATTATTAGCGTATTACTGTGTATACTACATGCAGTAAAATCCCACTATAACGCGGGTTTTGGCCGACAGAATAAACAACCGCTTTATGGGCAATCCGCGCCATATCGGAAAACAAAACTTTATACGTGAAAGTATAAATACGCATGTTTTTACAGACTTAATCACAAAATACGATAAAAACAGCATTACTGTGAGTAAAAAAAATCGTACTTTATTTAATCATTGTTTTTTAAAAATAGCTCGATGTTGCCTTTTCACGCGACAGCTGATGGCGTTTCTTCGTCACATACCTCTTAATATTTTGTAAATGTGGCATGAAAATGATCACAATCACTTTGGTGTTTCCATCCAATTCATTACATCACTTGTGTTATCAATTACACTGCTAGTTTTTGGAGTCTCTCACTTGCCTTTTCGCTGATCTGGGCTTCGACTACAATTTTCTCCTCGTCCTTATAAACAGCGACGGAAGTTTCACTAAAATAACCAACCCAGTCTCACAGCCTACACGTCATCTACCTCTATTCCTTCAGCAAGAACAATGGAAGCTTCACGCGCATCAAATACGAGACAGCATAGCGGTTCACTTTAGAAAGCCACAAGTAACGTCAAGTCACATGGAATACAAGGAGTGATGTCAAGACGCATCAATTTGTTTACGCGACAGCTGTCAGCAGCTTGCCGCGCTTACTGTAAATTCGAATCAAGCTGTTTATGCAGAAAATAAAAAGAATCATTTTCAGGGACATGACTAGGACAAGCGGTATATCCGGATCGGCTTAACAGAGGCATTTTATAATGGGTGACTATATGCGTGTTTCGTGTTTCTTTGTCCTACTACTGCATGTGCTATAGATGAAAACTTTGATATAGGATTTATACTACGCGATGGTGCAATTTAACGTTAAAAAACATTAATATCTACTGGGGTAACGTACATCATTATCCTTTGCTATCATATAATAAAATATACTCTATAGCATTACCTTGCACAACCAAAATAGCAAACAAGGTTCATTAGAAAGCAGATTTAGCAGGACGGAGCATCTCAAGGTGATACAAGAAATTCAGACAAACAAAATATCAGCCTCCTATTTACTTTGGGTTGGTCGATTTCGAGAGGGCTTTGGACTCAGTGTACATCCTTTCCTTTCTGTATTTGATTCCTTGAGGAACTAGAGAATCGAGGAAAGTTACATAAAAGTGATTGCTATGACTTACTAGAATGCAAGTGTTAGTAGGAAGATTGACAGAACCAAACAAGTAATAACCAAGTAAAGTTCAAAATGGAAAACGATGTTCGACAGGGTGATGCAACCGCAGTTATTCACAGCAGCCCTGGAAGGGGTTTTTCAGACACTCTGTTAGGAAAATCAGCGGCTAATCATAAAACTGCACTACTCAAGTAACTTGCGGTTTGCGGATGACATTCGGATCTTCAAAGTCACGAGATGTACTCCAAAAAAAACCAAGAAATTTGGACCGACCATGAACTTTAGAAAAGACTCAGGTCATGCTTAATAAATACATGACGTGCAACTTGTTCACGTCAATGAACCTAGACTAGAAGAGGTGCAAAACCACGTTTACCTGGAAGAGCTTTTCACTGCAACGGAGAGCCGACCATGTGAAATCAGTAAAAGAATGAAAATGGCATGGAGTACTTTTAGTTCCTCGTATCCGGGAAACCGATCTTGAGCCAGAAACTGTAAGTTATCAACCAGCCTGTGCTCCTAGTGCTAACGCAGTATGGACGAAATATGGATCTTAAACCTGAAAGCCAGTAAAACCTGGAGGCTAGGCAATCCAGTATGAATATATGTATGTTTGGAATAACAAGAACAAATAGGAAAACTAATGAATGGATAACACCAAAACAAGGGGTTTCAGCGTCATTGTCTGAGTGAAGAATTTAAAGTTTCAATATGCAGGAAACGTTGCAAGAACAAACGACCATCGCTGGACCACAGAAACTTTAGACAATGCTCAGAAACATCAGACTGAGGAAATCAACGACCGGCGTCTGGATGAACTGAAGAAGTTCGCTGGACCAAGTTGAATAAGATCAGCAGACAAAGGATGCTAAGGAAAAGTCTTGGAAACGCCTTCATCCGACAATGGATTGAAAAGGGCTGAAGATTATGATCAGCACCATAGCAACGTACAGTGCATTGCCAATATACATAACGAAAAACAAAGGTGTACGATCGGACAGCGGTGCCTGTAATCTTCAAATGCAGATCAATCTTTAAGCGGATGACTGGATGGACCGCTATCACAACAGACCAGCTTGAAGAAACTACTACAATTACATATGGGCAATACATGAAGCAAACTAACATCATATAACTATAGAGTACATATTACTGTACATAGTAAAGCTGTTTCACTGTATTATTTCAAATGCATGTATGTGTGTGAGCATTAATTTCAGTGTCTGCAAAATTCTGCGGTATACGATGTCCGCTGTATTCTCAGATATGTTACACCTTGGCTATGAGGCACTGATAACTGTGTCAGAGAAGGACAATTCTGCCCCGAAAACAGAGTTGCTTCTACCTTGTTCCTTTGGGTTGCATGCTAACCTCTCGGTAGACATCAACCAAGTATCGGCTAACAAACGGAGGTTCATGGGTTGGTATAAATGATTAATGCATAATTACTTTGTATAACAGAGCCGACATCCACTTGTTAATCTCAAATTTACTGAAGCGCCTACGTTCAAAAGTGAGCAGTGTCATTGCTTATATGAATTTAATATCTAACTCTCACCATACGCCAAGGCCAACGCTGCTTGCACAGTTCAATCGTGGTTGTTGATCTTTCTCTGCAACAACCGTGTCCACACCGGTCCAATACTCTTATCTGATCGAAGCAAGCACAGCGCATTCGTGTGGAAAGGGAAACTTCAGCCTATATCTGACAGTCTACCATTAGAGAATACCGACATCGGTACGGCACAATTTACTGTGTTCTGACCATTTGAATCACCACCTATCTTGCCGGTCAACGTCTGTTTCCCAGGCAGGTAAGCTACTGTGATCGTTAGCACATCGAGTTTGTAACGGCCCGACTAGCGGTAGGACAGGCATCGTCCAACTTACCTTCGTCAACATGCTTAACAAAACAACACACAATGACAAAAATAATGGGTAGGAAACTGGAAAAAATCTAATAGGTGAAGCATGCGGAAAACACGACGCTTTTCCTTCTTCGTCACAAAACAAATAATATACAGAGTAAGCATCGAATAACAAGTAATCATGCAAGAAAGATCAAAACAGCTGCATCGAGATGACAAACAGAAGATAGGTCTGAAAGACATAACAACTTTTGAGTATGAACTAGCTATTATAAAGCATGCTACTGACAACGTAAACCATATTTTCTTGACAAGGATATGAAAATATTGGACCGTCATCACACCACAGTCGGGCTCATAATACACACGAAACAACGATCACTGAAGCATTTGGAGCAAACAGTGTAAACTATCAATTAAGTTTCAAAGATCAATCAGTTAGTTCCAATCTCATCGTAAATAATTTAGCCCAGCTAATCTTCTATTTATTCATTTCTGGTTTATCTTCGCCCTGTATATTCTTTTCGTTTTTCATTTCTGACGCCTATCATTTCATTTCAGCTTTTTCCCTTTCTCCCTAGCTGATCTAAAGATCTCTAACCATGATATTAGTCTCTGTTCCCTAGCGATTTATATTAAAAAAAAAACTTCGCAGTAAATTCAAAATGTAGCGTTTATCATATAGATCTTTTCAGGGCATCCGCTTTTCTTAATCTGCGCTTTTCTTAATCTATTATCACAACAGCGTGAAGGTACATTTTCTAAGTTATACAATGCCTAAAAATCATTCACACTTTACCCAATTTTTAAAGCCAGAACAACTTTACCTCGGTCTGTCCCGCATTAAGCATCGTAATCAATGATGGACTAGATTTGGCCAAAAAATTTTGGTCATTTACGGGAGCAACGTCCTCCGCCAACGTGGAGTAGAACTGTCCCAGGAAAGGTTTGATTGAAACTTCGCCATACGACGAATAACGCATGCGACGAAGTTGCAGTTCTAAAGTTATGTATTTTAGTGAAGAAAACGAAAATGTGAAAAAAACGCATATTAAAAGTAAAAACACCGGAACTTTATGCTTAAGTTTAAAGGCCAGAGTTCCAAAAGTAAATAATAAAATACAAATAGATAGGTGAAACTAAGAGAAACTTGACCAAGTCATTGAGCAACAAGTTCAGGTGAAAAAAATCACGATTTACTGAAAGACATGAAATGTAAGAAACGCGACTCGATCTTATGGCAAGGTAATAAGGACGCTTTGTGAGAGGTCCAATAACAGACATATGTTGATCAACGGTATCTGGTATTCTTGTTTTAAGCTGTT